TTAATGAAGGGTAGGTCAGAAAAAGCGCCGCGATTCTCGCGTTTCTGGCCGCTCTGGCCACGACACTCATCTGCGACACGACAGCATCCAAATGGTGGGGTTGGGCCGCTCTGCTCCGATGTGCCGCGATTGCGGCCGCTCCGCCCACTATTGACTACTATGGTTGCACGAAGGAGAGGCCAATGTGCATTAGGGTTTCTACAGGCTACAGCAACCCTATTTTACAAAATTAAGTTAATGGGTCGCCCAACCTAGGAAAGAACTCGGGCCCAAACCAGAAAAAATGAAAAATTGAGGCCCATAACGGTGCCATGAATGCCTTGGACCGCCATGCAGTTATCGCCGTAATGGCCGCCATATGCAAAATTCCCCTCCATACATAGGCCAAACAGCCATAAGGGATCGCGACAGCAGCTGCCATACCGTTATGGCGCTGCCATACCGTTATGGCGCTGCCATAACGGCCATTTGACAACACTAATCCAAATACCAAGCCTATGCCAGATTAGGGGGAGTCTTTCCCGAATCCAAAAAGATACCGTAGACTAGTTGGGAAATTGAATTATCTTACCATGACTAGACCTGACATATCCTATGTAGTCATTGTTAGTCAATTTCTCAATTCTCCATGCAAAAGTCACTAGGATGTTGTGGTTCAAATTTTGAGATATATAAAAGGGTCTCCTATAAAAGGGTTAGTTTATGACAATAGAGGTTACATTGATATTGTAGTATATACAGATGTAGATTGGTCTGGTTCCCTAAGTTATAGCCAATCAACCTCTAGATATTGGGTTTTAATTGGTGGAAATCTAATTTCATGGAAGAGTAAGAAACAACAAACTATGCCAAGGTCTAGTGCAGAGGCAGAACACCGTGCTATGTCTATTACTATTTGTGAGCTGATTTGGCCAAAGCAACTCCGAAGTGAACTTTAGTTTTGCAAAATTGAGTACATGAAACTTATTTGTGACAACCAAGCAACCTTGCACATAGCATCTAATCCAGTCTTCCATAAGCAAACAAAATACATTGAAATTGATAGTCATTTTATGCGGGAGAAGATAGTTTTTGAAAACGTTACCACTTCTTTTGTCAATTCTAATGATTAGCCAACAGATATTTCTACTAGGTCTCTCAGAGGGCTGAGGATATCCTACATTTGTTCCAAGCTAGAGGTTTATGATCTATATGCTCCAGCTTAAGGGGGAGTGTTGAGATTTGATCAATATTACCATCTAAGATTTGTTCCAGATTTTCATTTGATCTCTACCATTATTATTTCATATTTTTGTTTTTATTATTCTTGTTAAGTTACCGTTTTATTGTATTTAATGTCTGATTGTATAATCCCTATAATAAAGGGATCTCATCATAATTGTAATTTATTTCTAATCATTATAAATAAAGGGTTGAGGATCAACCTCCTCTAGCATTCAATCATTCTAAGTTTGATATTCAAGTATATCCAAGTAATCAAAAGTATGAAAGTTGGAGATAGTTGACATATATAGTATGGATGGAAATTGATAAAGACCATCAGGATCCATTGTGTCTTTGAGGAGAACCTCCTTGGTACCCTTTGAATTTAACCAAGTAGAAAGATAGATGAAACTCAAAAAACAGAGTTATTTTTAGCAAATTGACTAACACTTATATAACAGATTATTGAGCACAACTGGAATTTTGGAATTAATAGGAAAAAAATTAGTAATTGCAAAATGAATACTAAGGCCCAGACCATTCCCATAACAATTTGATCTGGTCCTTCAAAAGGAGTTTGTTGTTGAATGTTTTGTGAAGCATTAGTAACATGATGAGAGACACCCAATTTAAGATACCAATGTGCTTGTGCAAGAGAATCAACACCAGTGAGCGTAGCTTGAGGCCTAAGAGCAGATATTGGAGCTGGCTGTGAAGGAGGCCTAATCCAATCCAATTCATAGAGGAAGGACAAAGTGTGGCATAGCTGGAACATGAGAAAAAGGACATGAAGATTGAAATGAGTATGATGGCCACCGATTCAAGTACCACAGAGTTGGCACAAAATTACCATAGCCTGGAGTGTCATGTGGTACAATAGGAACAAAGTGCTCCTCAAACCTATGATAACAAATTGAGGCATCATGGCTATACTCATGGCAAACTTGACACTAAATAATAGAACAACCTCAACCCCAATGGCCACCAAAATGGCTACCATAACTAGATTGATTACCACAAGAAGAGAAATTGCTTCTACCAGCAAAAGAATCAAATGTAGGTTAGAAGTGTGTTTGGCGACATTAACTTGTAGCAGATTTGAAGGCAGAGGCAAAGCAGATGAACCAGACTTGGCAATGTTAACAGAGGCTTGAGTCTTCTTAAGCTTATCCAGATGAGCCTCTTGCGCCAACAAGAGAGTTTCTACATCATTGATCAAAAATGGACTAAACTTGCTAATGATTAAAGACGGTGGATTTGTACTCTTCCAACAAGCCTTTAAGTATGATATTGAGGTGCTTTTTAGGAGATATTGCATTGCCAATTGCAATGTGAGCATCAACCAAGGGTTTAATACGAGGAAAAATAATTCAAAGATCATGCTATTTTCCTACATAGTGTTGCAAAGCTCAATGAGAAATTGATGAGCATCTGTGCAAATGGAAGTTGGCATGGATTTTATCCTAAAGCTTCCACGAGGTTTTACAACCAACACATGCACAAGCATTTCACGTGAGATTGAGGATTGCATCAAGAGAAGGAGTTGATCTTCGTGTTCCCAAGCAAGGTAGGAATCAAAAATTCTACAAGCCTCATAATTGGCAATATTTAGGTATTTTCGAGGAATTTGGGGATTTACAAGGTACTGACGTAATTGATGGCCTTTAATCACTAGTTTAACTTGCTAAATCAATAGAAGATGATCTTTCAAATCAATTTTTTCAGAAATTGAATGAGAAAAATTAGCAGCCACCACATTTGATACCAGTGGGAAGGCAGAAATAGGCCCCGCATTGACCAATGGAGGTGGAGGAAGAGGATTTTGATCAAAAACCTTGGAGCTTGGATCTAGTGTTAGAATCGTGCTCATGGTACTATATTAGATTGCTGAGAAAAAGTAAGAAAAGAAGCTTCGTATTCTGAGAAAATCAATTACGCACTTATAAAAGATCAAAGATTAGCTATATATACACAAGAAACCAAAAAGGCTAGGAGTATGTTACAAAGTACAATTGTCACTTGACAAGCCTGAACTAAATAGTTGAAAATACAGTGATTATAGCGAACAAGTTACAGAGTAAAACTCTACTCTCATGCTCCCAATTCTTCATAACAATAATAAATTTAAGCACAGAGAAAGTGAGTCTTGGCATTGTCCTCACTTTAAGCCCAAAGACTCTTGTGTGAACAGTTGTGTTAAGAGAGACAAAGATCAATGATAGACCTCTACTTAACAGCTTAAGATTTGGAGAGAGTTGGTCTATGACAGAACATTCCACATAGTTGATTGATGATACACTCAAAAAGAATTCTTTTAAAATTTGGATTTTCAAATGGGTAGAGATATTAAATAGTTCTTTTAAGTTGGTGTTTTACTTTTCTCAATTTTCCTTTATAGGAATTGCATGAATTTTATGTTTGGGTCTAACTCATCCTTACAAAATTGGCTTGTAAGGTGAGGATCACTCCCCAATTATACACACTAGTATGACCATCTCACTAGTCGATGTGAGATCTCTAAAACACATCCTCACACTAAGAATTGGACTTCTGAAGTGTATATATTATAGTTTGCATGAATGGATATTGTAAGTGATTTGATGACGGCCAAATAACAAGTGGCCTGATAAACCAAACAACACTACCTAGGATAGACTTTGATACCATATAGAAATTGCAAGAATTGTGTGTTTAAGTCTAAATCATCCTTACAAAACCAGTTTGTAAGATGAGAATTGTTCTTCACTTATACACATTATTCTAACCACCTCACTAATCGATGTAAGGTGAGAATTATTCTTCACTTGTACACATATAATACAAACAATTAGCTGAAAAAGAAAAATGGCACATGCTTCTTACTTTTCAAAGGATAAAAGTCTCTTCCACGCCACCCACTGCATTTCCTCCTGTCAAAAGTAACTAAGAAATATTTATCTAAACAAAAGAAGTAACTGAAATAAAACTTATCCTGATGCTAGACATACAGAAAGCACAAAAATTACATATGGGCCTTCACCCAACACCTTATGCTTTTAGGATAGTTTATAAATGACATGATCTTATAACCAAATGGTATAGAATTTGATCCTTAGCGTCCTATTCTATGAAATAAAATTAAATTTCAGCACAAGATGGGTCTATACATTGTCCAAGATTCAAGCCAAAGGACTCTCTTATGTGAGGATAGCGTTAAAGATATAAAGTTTAAATCATCGATGTGTCTTAACCTAACAAAGTTTTTGACACAGATGTGGCAAGCATATATTATCTCATTGAGGTGAAAAAGCTTTTCTTTATGAAGATTTTGAAAAAAGAAAACAATTATGAGCTAAGCTAATTTGGATAAAGTTCTCAACAAGCCCTTCTAGGAGAAAAAAAATGAGAATTAAAGAGGAAAAAATAAATCAAACTTCTCAGATGTTAAAATCAACATATGCACCTTAATTAATAGATATATTAGATGAGGAAGCCTTTGAAAAAGTTGGGATACGCAAGTTAATTTTACGGGAGAAGTTTCACTCATTTTACCTCCTTATCCAATTTATTTTCTTCAGTTAAAACTTAAAAGTGCTTATTGATAAGTTTATCCAGATTAGCTTTGTGTGCAAAACAAAAAAAAAATGTTTTTACCAAAATGCACTTGGTTAATGTCACATGAGAAGTAATTAAAGCATAAAGCTACATATAAAATATACTGCCATCTCAAATGGTAGATGTAGAAAAAGTTAAAAGTGCTCATTCCATTTACATCAAGCATGCAGCTTAATCAGTCTAACCGGCAACTTCTTAAACTAAATAAACATCCAGCTAAATATCAAATTTACTTCAAGCTTTACTCCTGCATATGGCCAACTACTGCAGACAGGACCATGAAACCAATACCAGCATGCAACACAAGATAAAAAGAACATCAAGTTGCAATTTGATAAACATTTCAAAATGCAGAGCCCTCTTTACAATACTTTCATCACCCTATTTAGATTTTACAGAGATCCTCAATTGGATGATTTAACATCAGAAATTGTCCTGCAACAATTATTGGTTATAAGAAAAATTTGGAAAGAAAAAAAAAGTTGCCTTGTAGGATCCAGTTGGTGGTACAGCAAGCATATTCCAATCAATTTCTTCAACATACTTCTTCCTCTCCCTGTAAACTGCCCTGGCACTATTATATTTGGGCTGATATTCAGATATGAGTCCTTTAGCCTACAGAACACCTTATCATCAAATTGCATGCCTTTAGAACATTGTTATCTAATACCACAGAAGAACAACTACAGACTAATGAATACAAATTATTGAATCAAGTATCAATTCAAAAACAATATATTACCAACTGACGACTGACAGAATTTTCAAAATTTTCATAGTCCTTCCAAAGTTGTTCAATGTGATGTGTAGGAGTAACAATTGCCTTCTGATAGACTTTCCTCACAGTAGTCATCCTGTGTGATTCTTCTTGAGCATTCACAGCCTGCAATAGATTATTGAATTTAAACCCAAAAGATGAGAAATCATACCAAATTATGCACCAAGGATTGCACAGAACATGAAAGACTAACTAAACAAACCGGCAATGATTTTAGAAAGGCTATGTACTCCATCCACACAGGGCCAGATGCTATGTCTGCTCCTGTTAGCACATCATTAGAGATAAGTTTCAATATATATAATACATAGGTACATTCATTCATACACACATTTAATAGACATACATTCCTTTCCCTCCTAATTTTGAATAACTTCAAATGATAATAACAATGGAGAGGAAATTATTTTAATTCAGTGAATTCTCACAAATTATTGGTTTGTGGGGTTTTTTTTTTTTTTTTTGGGG